AAAATACTTACAATTATATTATTTTTGCTGTTTATTGAGTTTTTTAACGAATCATTTTATTTTATTTTATTTTTATTCAAGAATTTTTTCTTGTCAAAAACAAATATTTAACCTAATTTTTCGATTTCGACAGATTTCATTCTTATTCATTTATGTTTTTCTTCTCTTCTCACTTCCCTTTCCCTAATAAATCATGAAATCACAAAAATAAATCTAATGAAGTTTCTATTTAGAAGTTTTTTTTATTAATTTAGGTGTTTTTTTCAATTCGAAAAATATTTTATTCATTTTGGTTTTTTAATTTAAAACTAAAATTAGAAAATATTTATTTTTGTTGAAGATTTTTCATTAACTTATGTTCTTTATATTTATTTTCAAAAATAAAAATATTTATTTTATCAAATTAAATGAAAAAGACTCTTAATTTATAATTTTTTCGAATTTTTGGATTCGATTATTTAAAGAATCAGCAACGTAAAGATTCTCTTCATTATCAAATGATAAATCATTAGGATAATTCAATTGATTTGATTGACTTCCTTCACCATTTCCACCAACAACAATTTCACCTTCTTCATCTCCTTCACACCAACGCATTACTCGATTATTACACTGATCTGCAACATAGATTTGACCCAAATGATCAACAATTACTCCTTGAGGAAAAGACAATTGTTTGAGACTATTTCCTAGACCATTTCCACCAGCAACAATAATTCCTTCTTTTGCACCTTTTGTCCATTTCATCACACGATCATTCCCATAATCTGATATATAAAGAGAATAATCATCATCAACAAAGATAAAAGTAGGATCAGACAGTTGATTAAGCTGATTTCCATGACCATTTCCACCTGCAACTAATTCACCTTTTGTATCTCCTTCTTTCCATCGTCTTACTTCATTTTTTCCATAATCACAAACATAAATAAATCCATTTTTATCGATTGTCAGACCATGACAATCAATATTTGAAATAATAATTTGTTGATTTTTTTGATTTTGATCAGAATATCGAATTACGCGTTTGTTCCCATAATCAAAAATAATAAAAGAATTACTTTCTTTATCAAAAATGATATTTCTTGGACAACTCAATTGATTATTTTGATTTCCTTGTCCATTTCCACCTGCAATAATTTGACCTTCATTTGAATCCAATTTCCATTTAACAATACGATGATT